GCATCTGCCGGACGGCCAGAGAGCAGCAGCTGAGGGCCGGGACCGGCTGAGCCCCGACGCCCACAGCTCACTGGCCGGCTCCTCCCCGGAGGGGGCCTGGGTCCCCGAGTGCCCAGGCCCGGAGTCGGGGCTGCCGGTGCGGGCTCTGGCCTCCAGCGGACACGTGCGCTCCGGCCGCACTCCGGCGGTCAGCACGGCGGTCTGCAGGGGCTCGGCCCTGCTCCCTCCAGCTCCCGGAGGGTCCTCCCCAGCTGCGGGGCTCCGCTGTCCCTTGGCCACACCCCTCGGCCTCTGCCCAGCCCCACGCGGCTTCGTCTGTCCCCCAGAAGACACCGGTCCAGGCCCCGAGGCGCCTGTCCCCGGCAGCAGCGGGGGCGAAGGACCCGGTGGGGAGATGGACACAGCCACGCGCCCTCCCGCAAGGCTGGGGGCCTGGCTCGCCGCCCCCCCAGGTGCCGGGGGCAGGGGCTGAGGCGCCCCAAGCAGGAGCTGCACTCACCTTTCACCAGGTGTGGGGTTAGTGAACCCCGGTCTCAGCAGCCGCTGGCAGCACCACCCCCGCGCCTCCCCGGTGTTCCCAGCACGCGGGCTGCGTGGGCCCGGGCACCGCGAGACGCCACACGGCCCCCAGAGGGCTCTCGTGGCCGGAGCCCAGGGCCCCTCCCAGCGGGGGGTCCGGCTGCCCCCGCCTGGCGGGCCCTTGGGGCCAAACAAGACCCGTGGGCCCCAGTTCTCAGTCCTTAGCATGGGGCTCCCCCAGCTGGAAGCCACTGGCTGGCACCTGCCCTGGCACCGGCTCAGAGCAGGCCTGGCCTGCCCACCTGGCCTGGCAGCGGCCACCTCTGCCTCCCGCAGCCCGGCCTGGGCACAGCGCGGCTCCCCCCTCCTACCTGGAGCTGCGGGGCCATCTGCCGCCCCCACTGCTGCCTAGGACTGACCCCCACAGCCGCACCCTGCCGCCACCCCTGGCCACGCGCCAGCGAGGGCCCTCGGTGAGCTGCGGCCTCCGTGGCCAGGGAGCAGGGGCCAGGAGAGGGAGGCCGGCCCCACGGCAGCCAGTCCCGGCTGCCCAGGAGCGCCAGAGGCACCTTCCCACGGCGCCCGGCCCGGCCGCCGGGCCAGCGGGCCTCTGGGGAACTGGACAGTGCAGTTTTGCTTTGGGATCTGGATGAACTGGAAAAGCAGAGGTCCGCACGGGCGCCCGAGCCCGCAGAGCGCCAGGC